TGGGGCCGGCCCCATGGCTTAGTGGTTAAGTGCACGCGCTCCGCTGCTGGCGGCCTGGGTTCGGATCCTGCGCGCGCACCAATGCACCGCTTCTCCGGCCATGCTGAGGCAGCGTCCCACGTACAGCAACTAGAAGGATGTGCATCTATGACATACAACTATCTACTGGGCCTTTGGAGGAAAGAAATAAATAAATTAAATTAAAAAAATAATTTTAAATGCTTTGCACTTATTAACTTACCTAATACTCCCAACTTTCTGAAGCAGATTCTATTATGATTCTCAATTTAAAGATAAGGAAATTAAGACACAAGAGGTGAAGTGATGTGTCCGAACAAGTGGCAGAATCAAGATCTGAACCAGGTAGTCCGATTTCTGTGCATTTGTAGGCTTTTTATTTTACTTATTTATTTTGAGCAATCATTTAGGTTACTTTATTTACTATTGCCATTGTGCTAAATGCAATAAGTTTTGGCTTGAAAGATTTAAAGCTCTGCTGAAAGAGAAAAAAAAATGACAAGTCTCCCCTTGGTGTGTAATGCCTTCCACCTTGGTCCATTAGGGCTCTGCTTCCTTCCACCTGGAAAGTGAGGGATTCAGACCAGAATAACTTGTCCTTCCCTGTGAGATCTGATAATCTGAGATGGGCCTCCTTGCCCCAGCACCTGCTACCTTAGGCTAAGGCTGCAGTGGTCTGTGACGCAAAGCCATGAAACAGGGCTCCATTTTAAAGGGCCTGCTGACTTGGGTATGGCCCTCTTTCCTTATGATGGTGAGACAGAGAACTTCACTCATCACTCTTTGAAAATCCAGCCAGCTCTGTTCCTGTAATGACTAAGGGCTGTGTATGGGGATGGTGCCAAGACTCTGCCACAGGTGAGGCATCCTTTATACCAGCAAGTACGTCAAAGGGGGGATCCATGAGATTCAACTGCTTGCCTTCAGTTTTTATGCAGTCATTGATCGAAAAAATACAATGAGCATAGCACGTCTTCCTGTCTTTGCTTTTATATTAAGATCTGCTCTCTCGGTAGGTTGCATAATTTGTTCAAGGAAGCAAAGTCTCTTTGCCTCTGAATATTGAGAGTTGTCTTAGAAGGAATAATGGGCTGGTATTGATGTCTGTATTTAATCTCAATTTGAATATTATTTTATAATAGGCTTTTGTTTCAAAGTCCACGTATTCTTTAAAGGTAGAGTTATTCCTCATGACACAGAAATTCAATAGAGTAAAACTCAAAAGAAGAATTTATAGGTATAGGTATTTATTCAATATATAGTTTAAGGAGAAGACACATGCATTCATACTGTTTGATAAGCACATAATTACCTTAATCAGTGCCTTTTGTTGTTTCATGTGTATTTCAATTACTATCTGAGGTGACTTGCTTTCAGCCCGAAGAACGTCCTGTAGTATTTATTGTAAGACAGGTCTGCTAGCAACAAAGTCTCCCAGTTTTCGCTTATCTGAGAATTTCCTTACTTTGCTTTCATTTTTGAAAGACAGCTTTACTGGCTATAGCACTTTTGATTGATAGTTTTTTCCTTTGAGCAATTTGAACATGTTACCCGATGCCTTCTGGCCTCCATTGTTTCTGATGGTAGTCAGCCGTTGATCTTATTGGGTTCCCTTGTAAGTGATGTTATTTTTTTCTTGCTGCTTTCAATATTTTCTCATTGTCTTTGGCATCCAGCATTTTTACTATGATGTGTCTGTTTGTGGATCTTCTTCTGTGTATCCTACTTACAGTTCATTAAGCTTCCTGGATGTGTAAATTAACATTCTTCAATAAATTTGGCATGTTTTCAGCCATCATTTCTTTGAATTTTTTTTTCTCCTTTCTCTGTCTCTTCTCCCCTCCTTCTGGTACTCCCATTACATGTATATTAGTGTTCTTAATGGTGTCCCACATTGCTCTGAGGCTCTGTTCATTTTTCTTCATTTTTTTCCCCTCTCTAGTTCTCTACCAATCTATCTTCAAGTTTGCTAATTCTTTCTTCTGCCAGTTCAAATCTACTATTGAGCCTCTCTAGAGAATTTTTCATTTCAGATATTTTACTTTTCAATTTCAATTCAAATTTCTGAATTTCCATTTGATTCTTTTTTAATTTATTATCTCTTTATTGATAGTCTCTATTTGGGGAAACATTGTTATACTTTCCTTATTTAATCAGTTTCCTTTAGTTCTTTGAACATACTTATAATGGCTTTTTTGAAGTCTTTGTCTATTCAGTCCAACGTCTGTTCAGTCTCACAGGCAGTTTCTGTTGCCTTTTATCCCCACAGTGTGCCAGTCGTATTTTCCTGTTTCTTCGACTATCTCATAATTTTTTGTTGGAAACTGGACATTTCAGATAATACACTGTGGCAACTCTGGATACTAGTCCCTGCTCTGGGGTTTGGGTACTGGTTTAGTGACAGGCTACATTATTTTAGTGAAGTCTGTTCCTCTCCCTCCCTGCAGGGTAGAGCCCCAGGGGGTGCAGGCTGAGGCATGCCCACAGTCACCGGATGACTGTGGTTTTGGCAGGTTCTCTGTCTCAGCAGTTAAGCTCCACTAATCATCAGCTAATTACTCTATTGTTTTCAGCAGCGCCCTGGGGCATGAATTCTTCTAGAGACTGATCCAATCAAATTAGGGATCCTATGAAGGGTTAGTTCCCAAGGTCAGTTTGAGATTTATTCACCCCAGGAGGGCTCTTCCCAGCTCTCTCTCTCTTTCTCTCTGGCAAGCTAGCCCACCTACAGTTTCACCTGTATCTCCAATGAATCTATCAATCTCCTTCCAATCGCCTTTTACCATGACCTCCACTGTTTCTGAGGGCATCTTTAGGCTTGCACTTCTCCACACTGTTGCAAATAGTTCCCTTGAGGAGAGATTCGGAGCTCTCTGTTCTACAGCCTGCTTCTCCCCCCAGACAAAAATCTCTGAGCCATGGCTCTGACATTGGGGGTGAGGACAATGATGTGCTTCTCTCAGAGTAACCCCACTTTAGCAGCTGAGCCCTCAGTGGGATGGGGCAGCAGCCCCAGGTCTCATCAGCTTGCCCTCCGGGTGTGGAACCTGTGCTCCAGGAGAAAGGGAAAGGCAATCAGGGCCCCAGTATTCTCAGCAGCCCCACATCCAACGTAGAGCCCCACTAGGGGGGGGCTGGGCAGAAGGGAGCCCCACCTCTCAGCTGCGCTCACCCAGAACCTAACCTCAGCAACAGGTAGCTGGGGGAGATAAGAAAGGCTGACATCCTGCCCCTCCCATGAAGACAGCCCTCCAACGGGGAACTGGGGCAGTGTGGGGGGAGGGAGGGAACCCTATGTTCTTGGTTTACCAGTTAGGAATGGAGTTTCTGTTTTCTGAACAGAGAGGGGGCAGGGAAGAAGCAGGTCTTGGGTCAAATATCACTGATTCTCACTGTTACCAAATTTTAGTAGATTTTCTTGAATATATTGTGTTTTTTGTTTTTTGTGTGTGTGAGGAAGATCAGCCCTGAGCTAACATCCGTGCTAATCTTCCTCTTTTTGCTGAGGAAGACCAGCCCTGAGCTAACATCTATTGCCAATCCTCCTCCTTTTTTTTCCCCCCAAAGCCCCAGTAGACAGTTGTGTGTCATAGTTGCACATCCTACTAGTTGCTGTATGTGGGACGCGGCCTCAGCATGGCCGGAGAAGCGGTGCGTCGGTGCACGCCCGGGATCCGAACCCGGGCCGCCAGTAGCGGAGCACGCGCACTTAACCGCTAAGCCACGGGGCCGGCCCTTGAATACATTGTTTATTATTTGCTATGTGCCCTTAGGACCATTCCAAGAGACTTCAAATGGTTGGTTTGTTGCTTTGTTTTTATAATTTTCACCAATTTTGCCAGCAAGCAGGTCTGTGAAGCTCCCTGAGCTGTCATGCCAGAATCAGAACTCCATACAGTTCATTTCTAAAACACAAATGGCTGCACCTTATACATTCTTTTGCACTTTTTTAACTTGGACCAAATATGTTGAATTATCTGAAGATAATTTCAGATTAGCACATATCTCTCTGCCTCATCATTTTAACAGTTGCATAATATTCTATTTATAAATGGCCCATAACGAATGTAACCAGTCCCCTCTCATCAGACATTTAGGTGGCTTACAGCCTTTTGCCATTACAAATAATGCTGCAATGCAGACACCTTGTGCACACGTGAAAACTTATGTGTAGGGTAAAGGTCCAGAAATGTAACTATTGGATTTAAGGGAATGTGTACTTTTAATTTTAGAAGTTATATAAAAACTACTCTTTAGATGTTTAATTTTGTGCAATACCTTACAAACACCAGGGTGTTGCAGGCAGCTAACATTGTCGTATTTCATTTTTTAGAAACAAGGAAGCACAACACATGTCCACAAACATCCTGTGAGCGTTTTAGCATGAAGGCATTACACAAGGCAATTCCATCCCAGCTCCCACACTCACCTGCTCTGAGCCTCAACTTCCTCTTCTGTAAAATGGATCCTTTCTGCTTTCTCTGACTGGTTCTGCTGGTTTGCCTGCCGGCCACAGTACTCATGTCTGGTAACAGACCCTGATTTTTGGAAGAGGGAGGAACACTCCTTTGCCTATGTATTCCATGTGATTTGACAGGCCCACCTTACTTCCTGCCACACGCTAGACATATGAGCACGCCTGGCGCATCAGAATAAGCCACACTGCCCGGCCACTAGTTCAGGCAAAGCCATGTGACAAGCCAGGGCCAATGAAAGCCTGTTTATATATGAAGTCATCCCAGAGCCAAGTGGAGAGACACTGAAGGCACTGAGCCCTGGATCCAGCCCTGCTGAAGCTACTTCTATCACAGGATTTTTCATTTTTATGAACTAATAAATTCTCTTTCTTGTTTAAGCCATTTGGAGTTATTTCTGAACCCTGCAACAGAGTCCTATCTATTCTTCTTCTCAGGAGACAAAATCTCTCCCCCCAACCCCAACCCCAACCCCAACTACAAAGCACTCAACCGATGAGTCAAAGCTGATCAAAATAAGAGCCTTTATAAATGTCTCTGGAAAGATGGGGAGAGAAGAAAATAGGATATAAATAACCATTATGTACAACTTTCAAGGTAAAATTCTCCCAGCCACCCCTTCCAGCTTGAACTCCAAAGTGTTTGAGGCAGAGACTGGGCACCACCAAGTGAATTCAAAAATATCCAGCTTCCGTCTCCAGGAGCTGATGGAGAAGGGCGGGTCAGGCCTAGAAACGAAATGAGTTGGAGGCATTAGAAAGGGCTGCCCCTCTGCCTCCTCTCCCTCTCCCCAGTGAGTGGAAATTGGTGGAGAAGGTCTGGCTGAGGGTCCCCACGGTGACCTCTTAAAGCCCACCGGTCATCCAAAGAGAAGATGGCGATTCCTCAAAAAATCAACGATAGAACTACCATATGATCCAGCTATTCCACTGTTGGGTATTTATCCAAAGAACTTGAAAACACCAATTT